GAAGGGGAGGGGGTGGGAAGGGACAGACTGGGAGTTCAAAATTTGTAGATACTGACAGGCACATGTAGAATAGATAACCAAGATTATACTGTATAGCACAGGGAAATATATACAAGATCTTGTGAAAAACAATATGACAATGAACATATGTATGTTCATGTATAACTGAAAAATTGTGCTCTACACTGGAAATAGACACAACATTGTGAACTGACTATAACTCACTACAAAAAATGTTAAAAAAATGAATGAATAAATAAACCTAATTACTAAACCCCCGCAAAAAACCAACCAACCAACCAACAAATACATCTTACTGAGAATGGAACATTCTACCGCCCTTACTACTCAATTAACAGCTACACTTAAACATCTGAAATGAAGACAAATAGTCAAGCATAACCAAGCATGTAAGTCTCCAGGAAATACAAGGATCTAGGGTCTGTGAGCTAAAACAATCCTGCAAATTGGGAGAATTACCAGCCCTCCTTGGAACTGGGGGCTGAAAAGGGGGCTTGGGCAAGTGAAACTAAAGAACCCAGAGTCCTCTGCCTTTTTGTTTTCAAGATCTGAGCCTTTAAACATCCCTCTTTTTATTCTGCAAATATAAACTTGCCAAATACCTGGACTATAATTTTTAAAAGTAATAAATAATGTAGATTCTATTAATGTTTGTCCCTGTTGGGTGAGCAGGGGATGGGCAAGACTGGTTGACCTTTTTTGTGCAGTTTATACAATGGAGAATATTGTCCTCTGAAGTCCAAGGGAAACAGAATGAGCCCAGTAGATCCCAGTAGATCGAGGGGCTGGGAGTAGGCTGGGATGGGGAGGGAGGGGGTCCCCTGCAACAACAGCTGATGTTAGTGAAAATTACATAGAAGACAAAGTTTCCAAGTGTCTTCTACTCTCAGACCATCCCAGCCACAGGGTTCAGAGTTTGTTGATCCGCAGTGAGCATGAGACTTTGAAAAAGCCCCTGCCCCTCTCTAGAATGAAGTGGGGCTGGAATACTAGTGTCGAACCCTTTCAGCCCTAACCTGGAGTGGACTGCCCTTCCTCCTTCACTCCGTGCATCCATTTTCTTCTTGCTTCTGGCTTGTGCCAAGAGGGATTGGCTGCTTTGGAACAGGACCTTCTGATTGCTCATCCAGCATCCAGCCCTATATCTGGGGCAGCTGCTGAAGGCCTGTCTGGGCCTGGTGGGAGGATATCTGCACAGGCTGCCAGCAGTGAGGAGTGCCCCAGCCTCTCAGCTGGTCTCTTGCAGGCTGCACGGTGGCTCTGACTCATTGTTCTCCTCCCACAGCTTGCAGCCAGGGAGGGAGAGCTCAGCTTGGAGCAACAAAAGGCATCAGCCCCATGGACATTCTCAGGCTTCTGCCCTCAAGGCCAGCAGTGAGCTCCTGCTCTGGAGGCTGTAGCTGGTCTCAGCTTTGCCCACTCTGCAGGTCACAGTGGCCACAGCTGGTGTGTCTGGGGAACTGACAGTTCAGGATAGTGTTGCTTCTGGCCTTTTGAATGTGATGAGAGATGAGCAGGGTATGGGGTAGGGGGTTTACTCACAATATAAACTTGTAGCTAACTGGGGGTGATATTTTGGGAAAATATTAATGTGCTTTGCCCTTTTGCCTTTTTGAGTATGTAACATTCTCTAATTTTCCTGAAGCATTCATTTACATGGGAAAGATTAAGATTGTGCTAGAAGGAATACAGAAAGGAAGAAAGCATTAACACCTTTTGACACTTGAGATTTTTATAGTTTTAAAAATATATAATAGAATTACAATAACTACATCTTCAAAGTGTACAATTTGATGAGTTTTTTACCTATGTAGACATCTGTGGAACAGTCGTCACAGTCAAGATACCGAATACATTCATTACCCCCTAAAATTTCCTTGCTCCCCTACCAGTTCCCAGGTAAGCATCAATTTGCTTTCTGTCACTATAGATTAATTTGCATTTTCTAGAAATTTACACACATGGAGTCAGACAATATTTACCTGTGTTTTGTCTGTTCTCTTTCACTCTGCGTAATTATTTTGGGACTCATCCTTGCCCTTGTGTAGATCAGTAAGCCATTCTTTTCTATTGCCGAGTAATATTTCATTGTATGGATCTCCCACAATACATTTATTTACTCAGTGATGCACATTTGATTGTTTCCAGTGTTTGGCTATTATGAAGAAAGCTCCTGTGAGCATTTGTGCATAAGTCTTTGTGTGGATATATGCTTGCATTTCTTTCCAGAAAGTTTATAGGAATTAAATGTCTGAGTCCTATCATCAGTATATTTTTACCTTTTTTAGAAACTGCCATACTGTTACCACACAGTTGTAATATTTTCACTCCCACCAGCAAGGTTTGAGAGTTCCAGCACTTTGCCTTCTCACCAACACTTAATCTAGCCAGTCTTCATCATTTTAGCCATTCTAGTGGGCGTAAAGGGGTATTTCATTATGCTTGTAATTTGCGCTTCCCTAATGACTAATGACATTCAAAATAAGATATGTAGGAAGACATTACCCCAGCTAGCCTGGCTATTGCTTGGGGAGAGGATTTTCTACATTCCTTTATACTGAAGCAAAATACCACAGTGCTTAAAACATAGGTGTGGCATTGCATAATAACCTACATACAAAGATATTCATTGCAGTGTTCTTTGTAATAGCGGAACAATGAAAAAGTTAAGTGTCCATTAATAGAGACCAGGTCAAGTAGATTATATATTATATCGGTCAGGTTCTCCAGAGAAACCATAGGATGTGGATATATAGAAAAAGAGATTTATTTTAAGAAATTGGCTCATATGATTGTTGAGGTTTGGTGATTCTAAAATCTGCTGAAGGAGGCCAGCAGGCTGGAGACTCAGGAAAGTTCCAGTTCAAGTCCAGAGGCATCCAGGTTAGAGAGCCTGGAAGAAGCCCATGTTGCAGCCCAAGTTCAAAAACACTCTGCTTGCACTCAGATTTTGTTCCATTCGGGACTTCAACTGATTAGATGAGGCCCACCCACATTATGGAAGGCAATCTGCTTACTCAAAGTCCACCAATTTAAGTGTAAATCCTATCCAAAAACACCCTCACAGAAACATCCAGAATAATGTTTGACCAAATATCTGGACACCCCATGGCCCAGCCAAATTGACACATAAAATTAACAAAGGTATGAATGGAATGCTAAGTAGCCATTAAAAAGGAAAGGCAGTTCTATTTGTACTAAAATAATATCTCTCCAAGACAAATTATTAAGTGGAAAAAAAACAGCTGAAGACACTATGTAAAATATGCTACTATTATAAAAACTTTTAATAATATACATGGTTATGATTGCAGATACATAGTATATATCTCAACAGACATACAAGACATTATTATGGGGGAGGAGGAGGTTGCCTCCAAAAAGAGGAACTGAGTGATTAGGGGATTGAAAAGAGATAGATGAACTTTTTACTTCGGTCTACATCTTTCCTATTTTTTGGCATGTACTGAAGCCTTTGCTTTAAATGCCAGCTCCATAGATTAGCGATGTGTCCCAGCCTTTTCTTCTTGAGGGCTGCAGGCACAGGGGTGGCTACTTTAGAGCAAAAATGATGATAAGGGGGGATGGGCCGGGATGAAGACCAGAGGATGCTCAAGAGTGGCGTGGCCTCACCCATTTGCTGTGGGATGGACAGTCCAGGCCAGGGACTGAGGAAGACAGGGCTGGAGTTTGGGAAAATGGGGGTGGCACAGGGCACTGTGAGAACCAGGATGAGGTTGAGTCGATTAAGAAGCACCATCGCTCCACTAAGCCAAGCTTTTTCTTTGCAGTGAAGTCAGGCCTGCTTACTTCTCCATCCAAAGATGGGAAAAATGACATAAATCCCATAGGCCTTTAAACTCACCCAGAGGAAATCTTTTTCTAAACTAGACTCTGCCCTGACATTTTGGCCTTGCAAATGTATGTGAAGAGACCCCTGTCTGGACAGGGGGCCCAAAGAGGAAATCCCTGCATGAGGTGAACAGGTGAATCCTCTGTTTGTCAGCTCTTTAAGGTTTGGACTCCACAATAAGGTTTTGCTCAAAAAAGAAAAGAAAAAAGAAAGAAAAGAGGGAAAAAAGAAAGAAAGAAAAGAAAAGAAAGAAAGAAATGTGACAATGAGTGTGTATATGTCCATGTATGACTGAAAAATTGTGCTGAACACTGGAATTTGACACAACATTGTAAAATTATTATGAATCAATAAAAAATGTTAAAAAACAAAAGGAAAAGGAAAGAAAGAAAGAAAAATAAAAAATAAAGTTAAAAACAAAAGGAAAAGGAAAGAAAGAAAGAAAGAAAGAAAGAAAGAAAGAAAGAAAGAAAGAAAGAAAGAAAGAAAGAAAGAAAGAAAGAAAAGGAAGGAAAGAAGGAAAGAAAAGAAAAACCAGCATGTGTTGCAACTTCATGATCAACATATGGTAGTGGTTACCGGCAATGCTGTCATATGCTGTGAAGTTCCAAATTTCTCCAGCTCTCTTCCCTCCTTCCCATGTCCCTCTCTCTCTAGTCCCTTCTCCCACAACCCCTGACTTCCCTGGACTCTAGGCTGAGTTGATTCCCTACTTCCCTATCTCACCCTGACCACCCCACCCCATCCTTTGTCAGATGTTTTCAAAACAGTGAACAGAACCCCAGCCTTGCTGCCACTCACTTAACCAACCCATGGACACATTGTAAAGCAAATTTTTGGTATTTCCACTGTTTTATTGGCATTTCTCTGGGGAGGGAGGGGGAAGGGAATTCTTTAATAGATGTTTTTTCCTTTCCCTTTTTCCCAGAAAGCCAACATTTCATGGCTCAGGACCCAGTGAAGAACCAACTGCTATGTCCTACTAAAATCAGAAGGAAAAAGTTTAAAAAGGCATTTGGCCCACTGGTCTAGCTGTCCTTAAAAATGTAAGTTTCTTTTTTCATTGTAATGTGTAATTAAAAGCTTGTTTATTTCCTGGACTCTTTGAAGAGGTTTAAGTGCATTTGGTGGATTTTTGAGAAAAGTACAGCTTGTATCTTCAGTATCTTGCATCATGTTTTCAGCACCCTATTCCAAAAGACAAATAAAACCAAGGCTTCTGAGAGCTTCCAAGATACAACAGTGCCGGTGGCAGCTTTTTGCTTTGATGTAACTACCACCCTCACATGACAGCATTGTTCTTCGGATGGACAGCCCGATTCCACGCCCTGGCCAGAACCATCCCACTTGAGGCAAAAATACATGTCTGCTATACATTCTTGCCTGGTGTGTGGTCAGTGCCCCCAGTCTTCAAACCAGAAGTTATTTACACCAAATGCTTAAGCAAAATGATTACTCAAGCCCCTCATCCACCTCCATTAGCAGGTACTGTTGGTCCTATCACCAAAATATGTTTACAAGTGGCCCTTTCTCCCTATCTCCATGGCCATCACTCTAATCTTCTGTTGCCTCGAACATGCAGGGGTTTCCCTGACTCTCTGCCTTCACTCATGGCAGAAATTTTTACTGAAAAGTTCTCTCTCATACTTTCACCAGAAAGAAAGAAAGAAAGAAAGAAAGAAAGAAAGAAAGAAAGAAAGAAAGAAAGAAAGAAAGAAAGAAAGAAAGAAAGAAAGAAAGAAAGAAAATTCTCTATTTTTCCTTTCTTTGCTTCACTCCTCTGCCTGCCACTTCATTTTTCAAGCAGACCTTATAATTCCACGGTCCTGGAATTACAGGATGGCTGTAAAACAGCCTAACAATTTCTCTGTATTTGTGGGAGCCAGAAACAGAAATGCCATTTCACTAGAGGTCCTGGAGGGTGTGGGAAGAGTGTGTCTGGATCCAGCACCAGAGTCAGAGATGAGATATTCCCAGGCTGGGAAGGCAGAAAGTCCTGTGGCACCTGAGAGCAGTGAGAAGCCCAGCCAAGGCTCCAGGGAAGGAGTCACCAGATCAGATAATATGGCAGCCTTGGGGTAGCAAGGAGGACTTTCAGGGCAGAGAATCATTGAAGGGACTACCCTCATCTTGAACACTCAGGTCCTATGGAAATTAAATCTATGTTAATCATTTTCTTATCACTCAGATCAGCAATGACCTGGCTTATTGAACCATTATAAACTCATTTTCTTAAGGACCTTCTGAGAATGTGACATTTCTTCATCCTTCCTCCTCCTAGAGCAACAAAAGCTTAATTCATCTTGGATTAGCTCTGTTTTTTCTCAACTGGCTTCTTTTCTTTCTGCAGCAATTTTTGCCACCTATGCACTCAGAAACGGAGGACTTGCATGTGTGTTAGGTCTCAATCCTATACCTGATGAGCATTCTCTTTTTTTCAGTTGGAGTATAGTTAATTTACAATGTTGTGTTAGCTTCTGGTGTATAGCATAGTGATTCAGCTATACATATATATTCTTTTTCATATTCCTTTTAATTATAGGTTATTACAAGGTATTGAATGTAGCTCCCTGTGCTACATGGTAGAATCTTGTTTTTTTGAAGCTCGTTCTTAATTGATTAGGCAGAATCTCCTGTGTACAAAAGTCTAGGTGTCTGCAAGAAGGTCTGACTCCTACTCTGTGGCCATACTCCAGGGAGGAGGGGGTGTTAAAGGGGCAAGACTTAGAATGTGTCGAGGGGGCGCTATTACACTGTTATATGCCTGCTATATTCCCTTACAAATCAGCCCAGCCTCATGTAGCCCAATGTGATTAGGGGACAGTCACGTTCCTCATCCCATTTCCCTTGTGACTAGTCTCAGCTCATCACTGTAGCCCCTTAAATCACCTATCTACCGCCAAGACACTGGTGCACAGGGTAAGTCTTAGAGAGGACTTCCTGGGGAAGAAATGTTATTCTGCACTCACTCAGAAATGCCTGCTCTAAATCTGTTCTTCCCCCAAGTTCTTCTCCCTAGAGCAGCTCCTCCTTCCTTCTCTCTCTTTCTGCTTCCCAAATCTCCTCTTTTTCCTCTCAAACCAAACAGTTCCAGCAAGCACCCTCCCCAGTTCCTCCCTCTCCAAATCTGGGGTGACTGTGTCCTCAAATGCAGAGCCAAATCAAGAAGTTCATCTATTGTTTTGCCAAACACAGTCCTGGGGGACCACCACTCCCTTCTAGCCTTGTGGTTCCTTCAGGGTTGCAGCACTAGGGCTCAGCCAGACTCCTGTCCTTACCAAGCTTCCTTATAGGGCCATGCTCTCCCCATCCATTATTGTGTTCAGGGCTTCTTGGATGAGGAGCCTGAGGGATGGACAGCTGAAGTCAACTGCTGAGGGTTACCCAGAAACAAGCAGTGGAGTGTGGATTTCAGCTGAGGTCTCCTGACTTGAGGTCAAGCATTTTCTCCTCTTATTAATCTAAGCAAAGGAAATGCCTGTAAAGTGAGCTCATTTTCCAACCACCGAAAACCCTAGGATGTTCCTGGTTCCCACTGGTCTTCAGGAAAGGCAAATGAAACTGTCTGGGTGAATTTCTTGGCCTTGATCCCGGGCAAATTAAAGTTGAGGCATGTTTTGTCATACATACTTGTGAACATCTAGAAAATGTTGACTTGCCTGATCCAAGTCCTGCCTGGGAGGACAGGGATCAGCAGGTAAACCAGTAACTAACACAATGTGAGATGTCCCCAGACTCTGAGGGGACACAGTCCATAATTAATTCTGGGGAAGGAGGGCTCACAGAAGAGGTGACATTCGAGAACTGAGCTGGACCTTGCATGAGTCTGTCAGGTGGAAAGAGAGCCAGCTCTCAGCTTCCAGTTTGCAGGCGCCCAAGGTGTAAAGTTCCCTTGGTTGTTCTGGAGCCCCGTGTAGCCCAGCCTCTGCCACATGTGACCCACATTTGACCCCAGGGCTATTCTGTTCATGCTTTTGAGATCATGGTGGTGATGGTGATGGTAAAGGAGACGCCATATCTTCCCAGGGTCCTGGGATAGATCCAGTGGGTTTGTCTCTTAGAAAGGTTATGATGATTCTGCCAAGGGATCCACTGACTAGAAAGGTCTTAGGATTAGAGGGAAGGTGACCTCGGTGGCAGACAGGTCCAGAGGCAGGAGCTTCCAAACCTTCTCAGGTCATCAGGCTTCAGAGGTCCTGGAGGGAAGGGCATCTGAGAAATGCAACAGGTAGCATCAACATTGCCCTTCAGCTGAGACCCAGTCTTTAGCCCAGGGGTTTTCCAGAACCATTGTAGAGGCCCTGGGGTGTCCAGGGTGTTAGAAGGGCAGCGAGGACCTCTCTGAGGTGGTCTTCCTGGCAGGACTCACAAAGGTTTAACTGAAAGGAATTAAAGGACTGGTCAAAGGCATGGACACAGTTAAGGGAGCCAAAGGGATGTCAAAGCCCCTAGGACCAGATTCTGAGGAAGCGTGAACAGTTCTAGGCTGAAGGGACCAGGGGAGGGAACTGTGTCACCTGCGAGGGGGCTATTTGTGTGTGGGAGGTGTGTGTGTGTGTGTACAGATGGGGATGAACACCTAGTCCTTTCTCTCCCGCTGCCTTGCCATCTTCTACTGGTACCTCCCCTTGGCCAAACCCAAGCAGAAGCCAGGAAGCAGGGGCACACGGGTGATGCAGTCCCTATCTGTCAGCCCCCCAGGGCAGATCACGGCAAAGAAGGGGTGGCAGATGGAATATGTAAAAAATTAATAAACAGAAACCTCAATTAAATAGAGTCAAGAGACCAAAAGAGGGGAGGGGATGGGGTAGGGGTGTTGCGGGCCGTGCTCTCACGCCGTCACAATAGCAGAGCCTAACAGGAGGAAGAAAGACTCCTCTTTGTTTCTGGCAAGGACCCAGCCAATGAAAAGCCATTGACTCTGCTTACTAGAGGCCTCCTGACTTCCTTTCCTCTCTATAAAAGCATTTTCCTTTCCTTGCTGTGTGGGCACTTGCACATGGCTCACCAGGGTTGCAGACCCCAAATTGCAATTCTCTGCTGATCTTGAATAAGCCTGTTTTTTTGATGGAGAAATATACAGCAGTCTATTTATTTCAGGTCAACAAACACGCAAGAGAATAGGGGCAGGAGGGAAGCAGCCACTGTTGAGAGAGAGAGAGAGCTCAGAAACCGGCAGGAGGGACAAGACTGCGTGATCTCCAAGGGCCTTCCTGAAACAAGGCCAGGAGGCTGTGCCAGGGTCCTTGCCGTCCTTTGAGAAAGGTTGAAACACGTCTCTCAGAGATCCCACCAGACACTTAAATGAGTTCAGGATGACGCACTTCAGGGAGAGGGTGGGGTGTGGGGGGCTCTTTCAGCTGTGGTCAGTGGGAGCCCCTCCAGCCCTCCAGCCCTCCTGCAGGCCAACAGCCTGTGGCCACTCCGAGCTCAGGTCCTCTGGCCCCTGACATGGGGCCACAGAGAGATGGCTTGTTGCTAAAATGACCAGAGAGAACTCAGAAGATCTCTATGCCATGGCTCAAGTCCACTTGACAACAGATGTAAAAGTATGCTGCCCTGGACGCCAGCCTCAGACATGTCCTCAAAACACCCTTGGTCCCTCTGGTGGCCTCAGTGACTCTGTAATTCTTGACTTTATTGAAACACTTTCTCTATTTGCTGCAAGGTCCCAAGTTGAGCCACATCACAACTCAGACTTGCAGAGAAAACAGCTTTTTAATTGTTGTATAAGGTAGATCCAATCTGCCCAATAAGCTACCAACCACAAAGGAGAAAGAAAAGCAAAACGCCTTTTGTCCGTTCCAGAGACTTCATCAGATGCCTTCATTTAAATGATTCCTCTGGATGATGTCACTTGGACAGCTTAGCTCAGCTTTCTATCCCCTCCTCCCTCCTCTCTGCAGAAGGGCACCCGGGATATGGACTGGGTAGGTCTCTGGCCTGCGTCCCCCTGGCAGACAGACAGGCCTTCCGACCTACCCGGTGGTTCCGATCTCCCTGGCCTCCACTGGCTTACCTCTGTCCTGGTCTGACCTGGCTCCAAGCACTGAATTTAGTGAGATGTGGGCATGCGGAGGTCTGAGTCCAGGAGGCGTCTGGTCTTGTGTGGTCAGGTGTTGCTAACTGTGTTTATTTGGCAAAGCCCAGATGAAGCCTGTGCTGGGTGGTCTGTGATGGAGCCCACACCCAGCCTGACGTCAAACCAGCAGTCAGCTGGCCCCAGCAGTAGATCCTGGGTCCTCAGAAGCCCCACTGTCACCTGGGAGTAGAGGCGTCTGAGCTGTACTCCCTAAAAGGTCCCCTTCACCCCTGCCCCTTTGATAATCCACCTTGAAACTCCTGGGCTTCTGGCCCGGGGCATCCCAGAGCTGGTGAGTGCGCTGTGGCCCAGGGGAGACCAACCAGGATCAGGCTGGTTTTGCCAAGTTGTGGCCCTGGAGGAGAAATCCTGGCTCTCCCAAGGGACGGAAGGCG